TGAAATTAGGATAATTATTCGTTTTTGATACTAGACAATCGAACAGTTACTCATTTTTGTACTAAATTTTAATAGTTATACTTTATTCCGCTAAGACTGGTGGGTATTTTAAGTTTTTACTTTTAAATATGATATGAAATTGTCGTTTAACTTTTAAAATCTAAACCAAACTCCTAATCGTTACATTCACAAATCCACGTGATGATTTAAAAAATAAAAAATAAAAAAATCGATTTTCAAATTGACAATTTTTGCTTACCACCCTATTTAAGGCACTCAAGTTTTAAACAGGAGTTCGAAATGGTCGGCGTGAAGTCGTTCAAATCAAGGATTTGTAATTTTTAGTTTATTTACGTATTAACTTGCCGGTATCATGAGAATAAAAACTACTTCAATTGTCACTCTTTGTGACCCCAAAACCCATTACGTGCATACGGTGATCTCATTGTATGCAATAAACTTAGTGGCTGGCTCGAATTCTGCATGTGCTGTCCACTCCATATATTTCGGCTTGACTCTGAGTCGATCTGTCTACACATCAAACTCGTCAATTTTCCTGAATATATAACACAAGGAAAATTGACTGATTTTACATGAAGTTTCAGTTGACAATGAAATCCCTCGTGAAAGGGTACGTTTGATTATAAAGATGAAATTTGGGTGAAAAGAAAATGAATTGAAGGGAATTGAATTATCTAGAATTTATTTTAATAAGAATTGTCAATTAATAGTGTTTGATTTGTATAATTTTCCACTTGAAAAATGTTAAAATAAAAGTGTCTTTTGGTGTTTGTTTGACTTTGTTTTTCATGAAAATTGTTAATTTAAGGGATATCAACTTCTACAATAGTTTTTAGAATTTGTTTCCATTGCCCAAAAAAAAATGAAAAATTATTTATATTTTGGTGTTCGTTTGCTTTATTTTACATGAAAATTGTCAATTTAAGGGATATCCTCTTTTACAATTGTTCCTAAAATTTGTTCTCATTGCCAAAAATAAAACAAAAAAAATGGGTGGAAAACCAATTATCACCATTTTCCAGCAAATCATGGAAAATACAAGTGTGTGGGGGAAAAGATGGAAAACAAATTCCATGGAAAATTTTTGCTATCAAACACACAAAATTGGAGGAAAATAAAATTCAAATTCCATTTTCCATGGAAATTGTGCCAATCAAACATGGCCTTAGATTTTGTCGAAAAATTTAGCTTGTTTGGCTAAAGCTTAGATTATTATTAAGTTTGGAAAGCGAACGTCTTTTATAATTTGAAGTTGAGAATATGCAATATTTTTTTTCACACTAAAGTACAAATTAATTTTAATAAAGTAGATTTTTGTCTTAAACGGTACAAAGGAAAAATGCCACATATCCAAATATATTAGAAAATAAAAAAGTTATTAGAACTTAGCCAATCTTTTAGTCAAAGAAAACATCTATAACATGGAGTGTATTTTAGCTCATGTTTGACCCCGACTTTTTAAGAATAAATTTTGTAAAATTTTATTTTTGGAGAATATTTGGTTAAAAAATACGGGTAAAATTTTGAATTTACATGCAAATTTAGTTTATTGAGAGAATATGTGATTGAAAACAAATTTTTTAAAGATTGTGACTCCTTCAAAATTTGATACAAAGTTTATACAATACTTCCTACATGCATAACATTATGTTCTTACTCGATCTACCATAACCTAATTGTTCGTGTTTCCTCAAGTGTTGAATGTCACAAGGGTGATAGTATTAAGAACCGGAGACATAGCTACTCACTCCTTTGGAAATTCACTTGGAAATTTTCAACTATGAATTTCTTTGTATTCAATTATTTTAGGAACAAATACGCTCGCATGCTACATCCTAGATATCTTCTTTTATTTGGCAGGCTTTGCAGAAATGCCATATTTTGCTCTAATAAACTATTATATATTATATATAACACACTTAATTTTAATGGAAATGAAAACTTCATTAGTAATGAGATTGTTACAACCAAATATGGGAAATGCGACTGCAAAACGGGTTTTTACGATTCAATGGAAATTCAATATGCAAAGTTTGATGTGGTCCTATTATAGTAATATTATCTAATGATTTGTTACTGCAGATACTCTCTCTAGCTTTGTAGGAATGCATATATATAATAATTTGTATAATTTATTTCTGTTGATTCATGACATATTGATTGTCTTATGGTATATTCATCAATAGATATACAAATTGCATATTTCTTGGTATGTAATGAAGATTTCTTATTTTTTATTTACTTGATTCTAACTTTTGTTCTAGAAAAGGTAAAGACAAGAGTTTGGGTAAATTGGGGCGTGAATTGGGATTGGGAATGAATTATGGACAGGCGTGTTGTTGGATGAATTTAATGATATATTTTGTTAAATATGGAATTGATAAGAATTTATAGTTTTCAAATATACTACAAAATAAACAAAAGGAGTAATAAACTAAGACACAATTCGTGATGTGATCAAAATTAATGTCCAACAGTGCAATCTCGATTTTTTGGTAGAATAAGTCGTAACTAATAGATGTGTCTCAATTGGTCAAAAGTTGACCCAATTAAAAACATCTTTGGATCATGTGAGTCCGATTAGATCTTTCTCTTGGCTACAATAAAAGGCGTGTGACTTAATTGGTCTACTACAATTAAATCTAAGAAGATTTATGCAATTTCGAAACCCTAACAGAGCATTATAAATATGCACCTTAAGGGCATATTTCTACAAGATTTAAGGTTAGCCACTTTTCTTTTTCTCAAAAGAGAACGCACCTGGTGGAGGAAAAGAAAGAAGATTTTAGGAAAAAAGCAATTGATTAGGTCATTAAAAGCTCCTTCAAAAGATGATCATCTCCCATTCCTATGTGTGAGGGTTTTTATAATCCAATGATTTCAATGTTATTAAAATCCTTATTAATGTGGTTTCAATTTTCAAAAGAAAATTAATGTTCTATTGTGATGATTAAATCTATTAACCAACACAAACAAGGGCTGAGAAGCTGTTATATGGGCTTGGTCCAGCCCATCAGGAAATTAAAAAGCCCAAACATGTATTGTAGGTCAAAATTGGTGGAGATATGCGTATGGTACGAGGAAAAATCTCGGCTGCACAAATAGCAGCACAGTTGCTGCTGGATAGGGAGAAGAAAAACGTGGCTGCCGAAAAGGAAGAAGGACAAGGAAAAATGATTTTCTTTCAATTTGGATTCACACAGGTTTCTTCGCTTTTTAATACAAATTGGAGATAATTTTTTGGATGCAAATTCAAAGTGGGTTTCTTTTCATCCTACGTGAACCAAAACGCGTTCATTCTGCAATCTCTTTACCCTTTACAGATAAATTTCTGAACAAACTGAACAATGGAAGGAACCCTTTTGGCAAACAGACCAGCATTCCCAATTCATCCAACAAAACCCACATCACACCCGAACCATCAGCGCTTGAAATTCAACACTTCAATACTCGCTCTTCCTACTGTACTACCTCATCAGCAACAGAGGAAGCAGAAATCCCCTTCTTCGCATTCATTACCTGTTGATTCTCTCCTTCAGCACCTACTGCACATTTCTACTTCTGTTTCTTCACAAAATCAAGATTCTTTACCACCCCATTTCATGAAAGGTAATGGTTTACTTGATTTTCTTCCTTTGAAGTGTAAGTTCATTCTTCGCTCAATTTTGGAGCAGCCCATTTGTGACTTAAATGCATTTTTTGATTCTGTCAAGTTTGAGTTGCTTCAAGAAGTTGATTTGATTAGTTTGTTGAAGGGTTTGGATGTTTCTGGTAACTGGGAAAAGGCCATTTTATTATTTGAATGGGTTTTGTTGAACTTCGATGGTAGAAAAGAGAGATTAGATAATCAGGTTATTGAATTAATAGTGAAGGTTGTTGGTAAGGAATCTCATCATTTTGTTACTACAAAGCTGTTTGTTTTGATTCTGTACGAGGATTATACGCTTGAAGTTCGAACATGGACTACAATTTTACATGCTTTTTCGCGAATTGGGAAATACGAAAAGGCAATAACTTTGTTTGATTTTATAAAGAAAAAAGGGTTATCCCCAAATCTGGTAACGTACAATGTGATGCTGGATGTTTACGGGAAAAAGGGACGATCTTGGGATCAGATTTTAGGCCTTTTGGACGAGATGAGGAGTTCGGGGCTTGAATTTGATGAGTTCACTTGTAGTACTGTGATATCTGCTTGTAAGTAGAGTGTTTCGTACGTAATTTTTTTATTATTTCTGAGTACAACCAAAAGTTAAGGACTATTAGGTTGTCAAGAAAAATGATGTAAAAAATTAAACTGATTATTTGACAACATAATAAAACCACTTTTGATTTATTAATTGTACATAGTACATAGTTATTTGACTGGATATTCTTTTTTTATCATATAAAATAATTAATTAATTTAATTTCTGTGGAACAATTTTTATTAGAAATTTCTTATTATTCCAAATTTTGTTTGTTTATGACTTAAAATATGAAACATTAGTATATGATCTACTATATATCATAAATATGTGAAATCCCATAATTCATTATCTTAAATTTTATTTCTATATATTATGGTGCATTAAAATTTGAAAAATAAAAAACAATAAAATTTAAGGTGAAAAAACATGTCAACAATTCAAAAAGAATCTTAATAATTATTTACATATTGATCTTTAGGAAAATTAGATAAATTCGATATTTAATTATATATTAATTAGCACAATTAATGCAATTCAACTTTGAAGAAAAGCTTAATTTAGAACATTTTAGACAAGCTCCAAAGAGAGTTTCTCTAGTTTTGAAATAATGCTATTTGTATATAAGTAGTTACATAATGATTTACATATAAATAAGGTGTTAACTTATTATGTACATGTAATACCACATCTTATGTATGTATACCAGTATGTAGACATAAACATAAATCATTGTGTAAACCTATTATTTAGATGTAACACAACTGTTAATTTTGTCAATAAGTACTTATTCGATGCAATCAAACAACAATTTTATATTTTAAAAAAATTAAATTACATTTTATACAATACCAACTCTGAAGGAAAAATAGAAATCCTTAAAAAGGAAATATCACCTAATTTGTAGGACGGGAAAGAGCCCCTATTTATTTAAACTTATACTAATTTACTTATAAGTAACTTAGAAGTAAATTTTTAAGACAAATGACCGAGAATGAGTACTTATGGTGACAAATATGTTAATACATTATGATATTAGCATTGTGTAGAGCATTTAGAGCTGCTATGGCTCTTTCTATTTTAATCTTCAAAATATCTTTCTCTGTCTCATCGGCCTGAAAAAAAGAATAAAAAATTTATAAACAATGAACATAAGTTAAACTACAGCCAGAAAATCAAAGAAAAAGAGAATGTGTATATTATATTTTATTAGCCATTGATGAGCCGTCAAGTCCATATTTTCTGTATCATTTTGATAGTTCTGGACTGGTGCTTGTATCTCAGTTGCTCACGGGAGATCACTATGCCTCTTGGAGCCGTGCAATGAAGATTGTTCTTTCGGTAAAGAATAAACTTTCTTTTTCATTCATGGATCGATGAAAAAATCGGAAGATGCGGGTCCTGAATTGATTAATTCATGGAATCGAAACAATAATATGGTGATATCGTGGATACTTAATTCGGTATCGAAGGAAATCTCAGTAAGTGTCATCTATGCTACCACCGCATACGAGATTTGGAACGATCGCAAAGAGGGATTTCAGCAAAGCAATGGACCGAGGATCTTTCAACTCAAAAAAGATCTGATGAATCTAAATCAAAAGCAACATAAATGTGTATTTCACCAAATTGAAGACTATATGGGAAGAATTAAGCAAATTTCGACGCAATTGTGAATGTGAAAAATGTACGTGCGGTTGTGTTAAGGAGATGAACAAATATTATCAAATGGAGTATATCATGTAATTCCTTATGGGGCTAAACGATTCATTCTCTCAGGTCAGGGGTCAAATCTTGCTAATGGATCCGATGCCACCCGTTAATAAGGTATTTTTCACTAATTGCACAAGAGGAGAATCAAAGAAATTTGAGTACACAATCACTCAGAATTGATACAGCTGCATTTGCTATGAGATCTAGGAATACGAAACCAGTACCTAACTCTGGTTTTCGTAATGATGTTTCTAGGATGGGAAATAATGGAATTGCAAAGAAAAAGGAAAGACCTTATCGTACTCATTGCATATATCATGGACACTCAATTGATAAGTGTCATAAAGTTCATGGGATATCCACCAGGATACATGACAAAATCAAAGGAAAACTCACAAGGCTATTCTGTCCAAAATCCTGTGAAAGCCAATCATCAGGCGACTCAACAACCTAACATGGATGACTTCATGCAGAACCTGAACTCTAGTCTATATCAACAACTGATGACTATGTTATCCAATCATTTAGGATCAAGGTCGAGCATGGCTGTAAATGATCAGGACAAACCAACTACATCAGGAGCTGCAGGTATTTGTCATTCAATATCAGTTATCCCTACATTCACTACTAAAAAGATATGGATAGTAGACTTAGGGGCAACTAGGCATGTGTGTTGTACTGCTGATGCTTTTATAAACTTGAGAAATGTTGGAAATGCAAGTGTCACATTACCAAATCATACACGAATATGAGTGAGCCTATGTGGTGATGTCAAACTGAGTCCTAATCTGGTGCTTCTTGATGTCTTATATGTGCCCCAATACAAGTTCAATTTATTGTCAGTCAACGCATTAACTCTTTGAACACAACTTAATTGAAGTTTGTTCCGTGATCATTTCAACACTCAGGAGAATACCACCAAGAGGATGATTCGCAAGGGTGATAAAGTTCAAGGATTGTATGTACTTGACACCAGGAATTTTCATTCATTTCCGCATACTTTTGTTTGTCATGTTTCAGCTCACATTTGGCATAATAGACTTGGTCATCTATCTTTTAAAAGATTAGATGTCTTGAGAGATCAAGTAGGGTATGATATTTCACAATTGAATAAGCATCTTCCGCGTTATGTTTGTCCTATTTCCAAACAAAGAAGATTGTCATTCGAGTCTAATAACAAACTGTCCAGTAGACCATTTGATCTGTTACACTGATATATGGGGACCGTACCACATTCCTTCTCATTCAGGACATAAATATTTCTTAACATTGGTTGATGATTGCTCCAAATTTACTTGGATATATTTGTTATGCAAAAAATCTGATGCTGTGAATGTAATTCGTCGTTTTTTTAGCATTGTTGCTACACAGTTTAATGCTGCCATTAAGAGTTTCAGATCAGACAACGCACCTGAATTATCTTTTAGAGATTTTTTTGCTGATAAGGTGTTATTCCATCAATTCAGTTGTGTTTTTAGACCACAACAAAATTCCATTTTTGAATGCAAGCATCAACACCTACTGAATGTTGCTAGAGTTTTATTTTTTTCAATCCAGAATTCCTATACATTTTTGGTCAGAATGCTTGTTAACTGCAACTTACCTCATCAATAGAATCCCATCTCCCATCTTGCAGCATAAAACACCTTATGAAGTCCTCTATGGTATTCCTGATGATTATTCTGCGTGTATTTGGGTGCTTAGGATTTGCATCTACACTCACTGCACATAGAGACAAATTCCAACCCAGAGCCAAATTATGTGTGTTCTTGGGCTATCCATCAAGAATCAAAGGTTATAAGCTTGTAGATGTTGAATCCAAACAGATTTTCATATCCAGAGATGTAGTATTCCATGAGGAGATAATTTTCCTTCCATACTATTGTAGAAACTGACCAATTGCTAGACCCATTCCATGATCTGGTTTTACCATCAACCTCATTGGTTTCTCCTCATGACACCTACATCCAATCTGATCATGACCATCACAATTCTGATACTCAGGATAATGAACACGGTACCTTTCCTTTAGACACAATTCATTCCTTACCCCATCCAATTCTAGCCCAATTGATCAACCACAATCTGATAGACCTATAAATCATACCATTCGCCAATCCAAAAGAGTCTCTAAGCCTCCCAAATATCTCCTTGACTACCATTGTAATCTAATATCCCAAAATAACCATCACATTCCTCAGTCCTCAAATCACATTAATCACTTTGTGTCCTATAAACATCTATCTGGACCTTTCAAAAATCTGGTACTCAACATTTCATCTGACTTTGAGCCTCAATTTTTCCATCAAGCTACCAAGTTTCCTCATTGGCGTGATGCCATGAAATTGGAATTGAAAGTCATGGAGCTCAATCACACTTGGTCAATTGTGCCTTTACCCCCAGGAAAGCAATCAGTAGGATGTAGATGGATTTGCACAAACAAGTACAAATCAGATGGAACACTTGAAAGGCACAAAGCACGCCTTGTTGCAAAGGGTTACACGCAACAAGAAGGGTTAGATTACTTCGACACCTTCTCAACAGTAGCCAAGAATGTTACTGTCAAAATTTTACTCACTCTCGCAACTCATCATCAATGGCATTTGCTTCAACTAGATGTTAACAATGCATTCATAAACGGAGACTTGTTTGAGGAAGTTTACATGAACATTCCTTTGGACTATGAATTTCTTAGACTATCCAAACAGGGGGAGAAAATGATTTGTAATTGCACAAGTCCATCTATGGACTCAAACAAGCTTCAATACAGTGAAATTCTAAGTTCACTCATGTCCTAATTGGCATGACTTTCAACAGTCTAAGGAAGATTATTCTCTTTTCACTAAAGGAAATGGGGATAGTTTTGTGGCATTGCTAGTTTACGTAGATGACTTCGTGCTAATTGGTCCTAATATCCACATCATAAACTCATTGAAGGCATTTCTAAACAGCCAGTTCAAGCTCAAGGATTTGGGACACTTAAATATACTTCTTGGGGATTAAAATTGCCCGCTCATCATCCGGCATGTTATTTCACAAGACAGTACACAATACAGCTAATTGAAGATGCCAGTTACCTAGACTGCAAACTAGTAACTGATCCTATGGATTCAAAGTCAGGACTTAGCATTCATGATGGAGATATTCTGCCACACGCTTCTCACTACAGGGGTTAATTGGAAGACTCATATATTTGACTATATCACGACCTGACATTACATTTGCAGTACATAAATTAAGTCAATTCATGTCCCAGCCAAGGATACCACACCTTAAAGCTATTCATCATCTTCTACGGTATTTGAAAGGCAACCCTGGCCAAGGCACTTTCTTTCCATCACAGCTACACTCTGGTTTGAACATCAACATTTGAGCTTTTTCAGATGTTGATTGGGGATCGTGCATTGATACACGAAAGTCAACTACAGGGTTCTGCATTTTCATTGGCAATTCAATGGTGTCATGGAAATAAAAAACGCAACCAACCATATCTCGTTCATCAGCTGAAGCAGAATATAGACCTCTTGCCTCTACGTAAGTGAAATCACTTGGATTCATCAAGTGTTGAAAGATTTCTAGATTATTCCCACATTTCCAGCCACTATCTACCATGACAACCATGTAGTAATACAGATCACCACCAATCTAGTATTCCACGAATGAACAAAACACATAGAAATTGATTGTCACTTCGTTCACGACAAAATTAACGCTGGGGTCGTGAAACTTCTTCCAGTTCGCTCAAAGCACCAACTTCTAGATGCATTTACCAAGTCACTTCCTGCTTTAGTTCTTTATCCTTTGTTATCCAAGACGTGTGTAAAAGACGTGTTGACCTCGAAAATTGGACCCTCTACGTGGCCAACCGATAGCCACTCCACGTATTCCTCCCTGCGCACAATCAACGCACGGTCAGATGCACATGGCCGGTACCAGCGGGGGCGGCGACGGCCGTATACACTCCGACGATCAAGTTAGGCTCAGGTGATCGAAATAGTACCAAGGTTGTGCAAAATAATGGGGAGGAGAATATATATTTGCTTGCTATGGAGTGCTAAATAGGAAGAGTTGCATTACCTTTGCCTCTTGCCAAGCCTTGGGTATTTATAGGTGAGGAGAGTCTTTGGATGTGAGCCACGTGTATACATCTAAACGGTATGAGGCGTATACTCATAGGCGTCAATCAGCCGCGTATGTAGAGTGGGTGGGTAGTTACTTCTCCCGAGTTGAGTTGACATAAAGTTGATAGGTCACATCAACTAGCATCATAGAGACGTCAAATCACTTTAAACCTTAGAAGCAGAAAAGATCTTGATAAAGATCTCATTCTGAAATCGGCGACGAGTCCTTAGGCCGAGGTTCACGGGAATCATTTTGCCTCAGATTTAGGGGGATAGGGCGC